CCTCGGTTGGCTGTGGGACTCAATGAAGCACCTTGGAGCCCCCAGGACTCAGGCCACCGGCCCCTTTCCCTTTAGAGAGAGAAACCTCCAGACTGGTCCAAATGGCACAGCTCTGGTCCCCAACCCCTGGCTCCACTGTGGCTGCAGCCTGGCCCCTGGCAGCCACAGGTGTCGAGCACCCCCAAGTCCTCCTGCGGTTTGGTTCGGCCTCGAAGATTCAGCTGAACTGGGCCCCCTCCTCCAGGAAGACCCCAAGGGGGACCCACTGCCCACAGGCTCCTGGAACCTGGCGGCAAATCAGAGGCAAACACAAGCACCGCCCAGCGCCTGGCTCCTTGGGGATCCTCTTCCACAGCCCCCCACGTCCTGTCCTCCCCTGCATGCTAGGGGCCGGAGCAGAGGGAAGAGAAAGGCCTGCCCAGCCTGGGCACCATCCACCGCTCTCCCAGGCCGGGATTCGAGAGGCTGCCCTGCTCCTGGGGTCAGGGTGTGGGGCTCCTGCAGACACCAGCTCTGTCACCCCGGCCCCTGTGGGCTGGGGCTGGGGCCAAGCAGGAGGGCACACGGGTAGCCCTCCCAGGCCCAGCCAGGCGGTGCTCCTGCCCCTCGAGGGCCTGAGCCCTCCTTAGTCCCCTAGACCCAGGGCCTGTGCCTGCAGCAGCCAGAGCCCCAGTGGCGCATTGACAGGCTCCTACTCTGCTGGGAGAAGCACCTCAGAGGTCTGACTGGACTCTCCTCTGGGCCCTGCCCAGGGGTGACCAGAGTCTCCACATGTAAGGAGATCCAGGCTGGGGATAGCAGGACGTGCCATGATTCTGGCAGGGGTCAGTGGCTGGGCTGGGGGTACGTAAGCTGGGGAAGGTCCCGAGGGAGGGAGGGAGAAGGCACCACAGAGGAAGGAAAGGGGAGGGGAGAGATGGAGGTGCGAGCCCCAGCCAAGTGGCCAGGGAGCTAGTCCAGGGCAGACACTGTGCCCCACCCCCTCGGGTGGCCTGGCCCTGTCCCAGGGCAGAGTTCACGCAAGCACCACTAACCGGCTCCACTGATTCACCCCAGCCGGGCCCAGCCCCTGCCCAGGTCGCCTTTGGAGAACATTGCAAAACGGAGGCCTGGCTCTGCTGGCTCCCCTCCGGGCGGGTGAGAGGCTGTGCAGCAGGCCCTGGAGCCCAGGGGGAAGGCCCCTCCTGCCCGGCCAGGCTGCCGCCCTGCGCAGACCCTGGGGAGGTGCCAGGCTGCCCACGCTGCACGCAGGCTAGCGGGGCACAGGGCGCCAGAGCCCAGTGGGCGCCTCGACAGGGGCGACATCTGTTCGCAGCTGGGCACTGTCTGGGGAGCCAGACCTTGCGGGCTGGGCGGGGTCAGGCCCAGGTGGATCAGGGCTTCTGCAGTGGGAGTGGAGGCTGTACACACTCAGAGTGCCCACTCACACACAGGTGCACACTCGTATCCCTGACAGACATACCGACCGACACACACACACGCACAGAGCTGGGAGTGGGGGTGTACCTACTCAGGGGCCGCTCCCCACACCCCAAGCCCCTTGGTTTCCTGAGGTTCTGCCTGTCCCCCACAGGCCCCCAGGCCTGTCCTGTGCACCCATCCCCATGCTGACTGCCACCCCCTCGGTCGCCCCCCGGCTGTGCCTGCTCGTCGCCCGGTCTTGCTCACCCTGCCCTGACCCTGGTGCCCCGAACCCAGGCCATGCCAGGGGACCCCCACCTGCCCCATCCATGGCCACGGCCCGTGGCTGGGGAGATTTGGGAGAACCTCCTCGTCTGTCCTCTGGCAGCCCTCCCCACGCTCCCTCAGCCCCCCAGGGCCTCCCGGCTCTCATGGACGGCATGTCACTGTGCTGTCTGGTCTGTGTGAGGACATGTATGTGACTATGGAGAAGGAGTGTGAGTGGCCCAGGCCACCTTTTGTCCACTCTCCTCTTCCCCCCTAATCCGGGGAGGCCAGCCAAGCGCCAGTCACCATGGTAACAGCACAGTGCCTCCCGCCAGCAGGACAGGGTGACCTGGCGGGGCTGGCTGTGCAGGGCCCGACGGGCTGTTTCGGGGAGTAGGGTGCAGCCCTCTGGAGGACCCAGCCTACTCCCCTCCTTGGGAAACACTGGCTTTGAGAGGACAGGAACACGAAGAGGCACCAGCCTCGGGCACCCTCGGGAGTCCAAGGACAGAGCCTGGCCCTCTTCAGTCAGGGGGGCAGCAGGATAAGGCCCTGGTGTCTCAACCCCAGCTGAGTTGTCCTCCTGGTGGCCTCTCCCTGCCATCTGCTGCCCATGGAGTTGTTGACCTGGGCTGGGCCTGCCTGTGGGGTTCAGAAATATTTTGAGGCCCACTGAATGGGCCTTCCAGGAATCAGGAAAAAACAGATGACTGGCGTCCTGTTCGGCGGGAGACATGGCTGGATGTGTGTGTGGCTCAGACCTGCAGGGAAGGGTGGCCTGGGGTCACTTACCAAGGGCCATGCCCAGGACAAAAGAGCGAAGGAAGGGCTCTCGGGTCTCAGATGTGGCCGCACAGGAGGGCGGGGCTCCACCGCGGGGTAAACCCTCGGGGCCTCAGTTTGCTCAGCCAAGAAGTTGGGATGGGTCATGCCAACCTGCAAGGTTGGGTAGGGTGAGGTGGGCAGCATCCTGCTGAGTCCTGCCTACTGGGCAGGGTCACCTGGGGTACCAGGGCCCCCAACACCAGAGTGGATATGAGGCCCTGGTGGTTACACAAGCAGAGAGATACCAGGCTCCCTGCCCAGCCCACTCCTGGGGCCAGAGGGGGCCTGAAGGAACAGGCCCTGGGGGATGCAGGTTGATTCTGACACCTCATGAAACTCACAGCTGGTGCAGGATGAACACACACACACACACACACACATAGACAACAGTCTGTAACACACACATCGGTGTCTGGGAGGGAAGCAGGCTTGAAGGGAACCCTTCCCTCAGGAAAGAGACTACCTCCTGCTGTCCTGCACTCCCAGATTGGGGTGGGGGAGGCTTCCCGCTCCCGTAGACGCCCCCCAGAGCTGGGGAGGAAGGGCAGGGCACTCGCTCTGCCCTCCTGCAGCACTGTGAGTACCCACTGCTGAGTTGGAGAAGACTCCAGGTCTTCAGATCAAGCTGGTGATGGTCACCGGCCGGCTGGCTTCCCTTCCCAAGGCTGACTCCAAGGCCAGGAACCAGCCCTCTCCGGTGAGCTCCCAGCCCTCTGGGCTGAGTCAGACCTTTCCTCTTGACTGGGTGACCAGCTGGACCCACAACGTGCTCCAGGTCTGGGAATCCACAACAGCCTGACCTGAGGGTACTTGCTGTCTGGGGGTGGGTGAGGACCCACAGGGGACACTCAGCCCCTTCTCTCCCACAGGTGCTGCACGGATTTTACCGAAGGGTTGGGCTCTGGCATCCCACCTTGGATCTAACCTGGTGGGGACGACTGCACTGGCCTGGGGCCCGTGGTTAACTGGCCGGCCGCAGCGCTACCCTCATGGGCCCACACTGCGGGAGGGTGCTGGACAGAGCCCCAGGAAGGCAAGAACCTAAGCGCTGCACCAGCGAAAGGGTCACTTTCTGTCCTGGGAGAGTGATCATGGCAGTGAAGAGGCGCGACTTGGGGGAAGTTGGTGTGCTGAGCCTGTGGGCCAGCCCCGTGCATCCTTGGGGGTCACCTCAGGAGTGCACCTTGGCCTCTTGGCCCCCCAGCCCTCAACCCTCTCTGGGACTGGTGGGGGAGGCAGTGGACGTCTGGGGCTCAGCCACCAGGGCTGGCACAGGACGGCCCACACCGAATCTTGAGCAGCTCAAGCCAGTGACCTTGGGCCAAGGCTGGGGGTTGGATCCCGCCACTACACAGGTGAGTCTGTGTGGCACAGGAGAGAGGGGAGGGCGAGGCTGAGACCGGGGCCATGTGCACCTGGGCCGGCTCGGGCCCTGACTGCGTCGTCGAGATGGGCTCTGGGTAGAGGTGGCCAGTAGCTGGGCCTGGAGGGCAGCCAGATGGATGGAGAGCAGGGACGAACGCTCCAGGCCCGGGGACAGCGGGCTTGGGGTCCAGGAGAGGAGCCATGGTCTGGGAGGGGTCTCGGGTGCGGGCGTGAGGTCTAGCTGCGCTCAGAACGGGGACCCCGGGTGGGCACGGCCGCCGAGCCGGTCCCGGGGGGCGCGGCGCCGCCCACCCGCGCGGACTGCCGGGAACGCACACGCACGGCCCGGGGCAGCGCGGGGATCGCCTCCCGGACCCTGACTCGTGTCGGGACCCCACGCCCGCGGCGCCGCAGACCCAGCCTACGAACGGGGCTCGGCAGAGGAAGGCGCGCAGGTCGCGGGTGACCTTCCCGGTACAGCCTGGGCGGGCCCCTGGGAGTCCCCGCCCCGCCCGCGCGCCGCTATTGGCTGGGGCCCCGGTGCCCTTTGAAAGCCCGGCTCCCATTGGCCCCCGCGGCCCCTCCCCACACGCCTGGGCCGCCGCCCGCGCGGGCGCTGCGCGTGCGCGAAGCTGGTGTGTGAGCGCGAAGGCGGAGACGCGCCACGCCGTGTGCCTCCGCGACTCTACTACAGCGAGGTAGTCCCGGGCGGTGACCGCGCCGCCTGCCCGCCGGGCTCGGCCGACCCCCGAGGCGGCGCCCGGCCGCTCCCCGCCGTGGCCGCGGCTGCTCGAGCGGGTTCTCGCAGGAGGCCCCGCCGCGCGGGTCCCGGCGGCAGAGGGCGGGGTCTCGCTCGCCCCGCCCCCGCGGAGGGATACGGGCACCCGCGGCCCAAAAGCCCCGGGCGAGGCGGTCGGGGCGTGTGAGCCGCCTGGCCTGCTGCGCGTCGACGAGGTCCACGCGGACTCCTGGTCTCCTGCGCCGCGCGACGGCCTGGCCGGCGACCCCGTGACGCCCGCCCCCCCGCGACCGGCAGCCGCCTGGGGCTCGGGGCGCCGCGCGGCCCGGGGAGGCCGCCCTCCCGCGTCCGCAGCCGCGCGGGGAGCCGAGCCCGGCGAGAGGCGGCGCAGAGCCCGCGCCCCGCCGCCGCCCGCAATGCTGCTCTCCAAGTTCGGCTCGTTGGCGCACCTCTGCGGGCCGAGCGGCGTGGACCTCCCGGTGAAGATCCTGCAGCCGGGTACGCGCGGGGCCGGGGCGCGGGGGGCCGGGGGCCGGGGCCGGGGCTTGTCGGCTCGCACCAACCCCGCCTTCGCGCTCCCCGCAGCCAAGGCGGAGAAGGAGAGTTTCGAGAAAGTGTACCAGGTGGGCGCCGTGCTGGGCAGCGGCGGATTCGGCACGGTCTACGCGGGCAGCCGCATCGCCGACGGGCTCCCGGTAGGTCCGGCCGCCGGGCGGAACCGGGTGTGTGTCCCCGCGCGCGCGTCGCCGCAGCGGGCCGGGCCTGACCCCTTGTGCTCCCCTAGGTGGCCGTGAAGCACGTGGTGAAGGAGCGGGTGACCGAGTGGGGCAGCGTGGTAAGCGCGGGGCCGGTGGGCGGACGGCCGGCGGGTCGGGCCGCGGGCTGCGCCGCTGACCGCGCCGCTGACCGCCGTCTCCCCCAGGGCGGTGTGGCCGTGCCCTTCGAGGTGGTGCTGCTGCGGAAGGTGGGCGCGGCGGGCGGCGCGCGCGGCGTCATCCGCCTGCTGGACTGGTTCGAGCGGCCCGACGGCTTCTTGCTGGTGCTGGAGCGCCCCGAGCCGGCCCAGGACCTCTTCGACTTCATCACGGAGCGCGGCGCCCTGGACGAGCCCCTGGCGCGCCGCTTCTTCGCACAGGTGTTGGCTGCGGTGCGCCACTGCCACGCCTGCGGGGTGGTGCACCGCGACATCAAGGACGAGAACCTCCTGGTGGACCTGCGCTCCGGGGAGCTCAAGCTCATCGACTTCGGCTCGGGCGCGCTGCTCAAGGACACGGTCTACACGGATTTCGACGGTGAGCGTGCGCGCGGCCGGCGGCCGGCAACGGCCCGTAACGTTCGAGGGGATGGGGTGGGGTGGGGGCTGGTGAGTGTTGAGCCCGCGCAGCCTGGGCACGTTCGCGTAGGCGCCGAGCCGGGGACCCCCAGCCGGCTCGTGGTAGGTGGGGGTGAGAGGTGGGCTCCAGACCGCCCCCTCAGGCTGCGTTGGGGCGCGCCAGCGGGCAGGGGGCCGTGGTGGTCACGGTGTCTGCGTGGGGAGCGCGGGACTGTTGGAGCCGGCGCTGCACGGGCCTCCCCTTTCGTGAGGGCGGGTGCTGTGTGCGTGCCGAGAGCGCGTGGGCGCCGGCAGAAATCCCCGCATTGCGGGTGCGCGGGGAAGCCGGGGCTCCCCGCCCGCCCACTCCTCCTCACCCCTCCTCTCTCCCGCCTCCTCTCCCTGCAGTCCCCCAGCCCTCCCTCTATCCTCACCTCACATCTGTTTGTTGTGAAACCCGAGCCAGCGCCCACGTGACCGGCTCCTCCCCCAGCCGGGCCAGCCCTGGGGAGGCCACGCCTGCGGGGTTTTTCCAGGGTGATGACTGGCAGGATTCGGACGCTGGCTCCCTCTTCTGGCGCAGGCCTCTGAGATGATTAACTGGGGTGCAGGGTCTTGATGTTTACGTTCGGTGTCAGCTTCTTGTGGTGCTGGCGCCTGGCGGGCCTCCTAACCCCCGCGTTCTCCCCAGGCACCCGGGTGTACAGCCCCCCCGAGTGGATCCGCTACCACCGCTACCACGGGCGCTCAGCCACCGTCTGGTCTCTGGGTGTGCTGCTTTATGACATGGTGTGCGGGGACATTCCCTTTGAGCAGGACGAGGAAATTCTGCGGGGCCGTCTCTTCTTCAGGAGGAGGGTCTCCCCAGGTGTGTGTGGGGCTGGGGTGGGGCTGGCCAGGGTAGCAGCCCCCGGACGGCCCCTTCCTGACTGCCTCCCCCCTGCAGAGTGTCAGCAGCTCATTCAGTGGTGTCTGTCTCCGCGGCCCTCCGAGCGGCCCTCGCTGGACCAGATCTCCGCCCACCCCTGGATGCTGGGGGCAGATGGGGGCACCCCAGAGAACTGTGACCTTCGTCTCTGCTCTCTGGACACGGATGACGGGGCCAGCACCACCTCCAGCAGTGAGAGCTTGTGAGGAGGACCTGCACCTGGCTTGTGGGAGCCAGAGGGACCACCTGCCCCAGCCTCGGCCCTTTGCGGGTCTGTCCTGCTAGGGCTGGGTGCTCCTTGAGAAAGCAGTGGCCTCTGACCCTGGTGACCTTTACCTTTGGCACTGGGCCTGTTTCCTCTGCTTTGAGTGCCTTTCGAACGCTGCTCTCACGGGACTTGGCTTTCTCAAGCTCTGTCTGTCCAAAGACCTCCGGTCGAAGCAAGGTCCCGCCTGTCTTGGCTGGGTGCTTGACCCCAAAACTGTCCCTGTCCTGTGCTTCCGGGAGGCAGCCCTTTGGGCCCCCAGCACCTCCCCATCTGACCAAGTTGGACCAGGAGCACTCTTGTGTTCTGTGGCCTCATCTCGCCTGGGCACAGGGTCCCTCGTGCCCACCTCCCTCTCCCGCCCTCGCCCTTTGGTGTTCGTCCGGGCACGTCTGTGCACAAGCAATGCAATGCTCAGGTCTCTGTGCCCACATGGCACCCTGCCCGTGTGCGCTTGTAGGCCTGTGAGCGTCTATTTATGGTGTGACCCCCGTGGAGGGCTATTTATTGTTTAATTTATTTGTTGAGGGTCCTCCTCAGCAGCCTTGCTCTTCTGGGCCCCTGGGGGTGGGGAGAGGGCAGCTGTGTGTGGACCCCAGGTCCGACCCTACCTGCATCTGTCGGAGGATGGACTTGTACAGTGGCTAACTTAAGGGGAGTGGGCGACACTGCCCCCTAGGGGCTGTGCACCCAGGGGGGTGGGTTTTAAATTATTGACCTTGTACAGTCTGCTTGTTGGCTCTGGAAGCTGGGGGGTGGGGGGACAGAGTCGCAAGCCTTTAATTTATTTTAGTAGCTATGTTTCTGTGATCCTGGTGTGTAGGCATCAGGGACGGGGGTTTCTTTCAGTTTAAAAGCAAGACGTCTGGAGATCATATTTTTTATACAGGTATTTCAATTAAATCGTTTTGTATATAACGGATATCCTGTGTTTATTGGGCTGGGGCTGGGGGGCAGAAGGGGCCTCTGGCTCTCCTGTGAGGAGGCAGCAGCATGGGAGGACTGGGCTAGGCTCTCCCTCCCGCCCAGCAGGTCCAGAGGCTGTCTGCCTGCACCCCACCTCCCCGCAGCACCTGAGGGAGTGGGCAGTGCCGGGCTGTGCCATCAGGGGCCTGTGGGAGGGGCAGGGAGCCGGGCAGGCCCTGGGGAGGAGGTTGGCATGGCCACCACTGCTTGGAGGTCATCTTAGGGTTGCCCCAGCGAACCTCTGGCGTCTTCTCGAGGAGGTGCCTCGGGTGGGCAGAGGAGCAGCCCTTGCTCAGGCCGCGAAGGCAGGGTGTGGGGAGGCTTGTGCTGCCCCTCCGACCACTGCAAAGGGGTTCTGAAGGGCGCATCGAGTGAGCAGGTGGAGGGGCAGCAAGACAGGTGCAGAGAACACATGGGTGTGGTCAGGAGTGGTCATGTGACAGCCCTGGCTTGACAGGTGTAGGGTGAGGCCATGGAGGGACACTCCAGGTCCTGGGGTGCAGAAGGTAGAGACCTGGGCCAGGCCTAAGCATGAAGGGCTGGCTGGGTGGAGGGTCTAGGTGCGCTCTGCCTCCAAGGCCCCCGCCCCTGCCTCGGGAGCTCCTGACACGGGCTGCAAGGAGGCCATCTGGGTCCAGCAGGGCATGAAGCCCCCTGCCCGCCCCTGGTGTCTGCTAACAAGGTTGGACAAAGAAGTGTCGGGCGGCATGCGAGGGCAGGGGCCGGGCGTCTGGAGCGGTGACACAGGAGGAAACGGCAAGCAGGGCTGAGGGGCCGGGCGCGGGCGGCCACGGGGCCGGCGCACCTCTACCGAGGAGCCACCGCTGGGCCCAGGAGTTCCCGGCAGCCTGCTCAGGGCAGGCAGACGCTGTGGAGCATGAGGGCGCAGCATGAGGAGACTACCTGCCTGTCCCTGGGCTTGCCCCCTGGGGGTGCACCCAGGCCACGGGGCTCCTTTTCTTGCGCTCACCGTGGCGTCTCCCAGGAACGGTGGGAGGTACTCAGGGCAGATTGAGGACAAGCAGTTGTTCACTCTTTGGGCCCTGCACCCCACTCTGGTGACAGTCACCCTCATCACCATCTCCCACTTGCCAGCCGACACCGTTCCCCCACCTACTGGTCCTTCAGTCATTGGCCCACCTGCCCATCCATTCGTCCACCCCCTGAAGCATCCAGGAACCACTCGCTGAGCTCATCTTTGTGGGGGATCCTGAGTCAGGCTCTGAGTCAGGCCAAGACACCCCCAGTTAGTCACTCTGATTGGAGGCTGCGGGAAGGCTGGTCTCTGCACAAGGTGGGGCCCCCTTGCTGGAGGCGCAGTGAACTCCCAGGAGCCTGCTCCACGGGTGGGCAGCGGAGGCTGGAGGCCCAGCAGCTGGCCCCGGGCCAGAAGCCCCCTAGCCACAGGTCTGAGCGGCACCGGGAGCAGCCGTACGGAGTCTGACCTGCAGTGAGTGGGACACGCTGCCTGCAGGCTCCTCGGCCCTGGGACCCCGTCTAGTGACACCTGCGAGGTGGGGCAGGCACGGGCCACGTGCCGCGGGTGGACAGGCCGGTGGGTGGCCACTGACGGGCTCGAGGCCATGGGAGAACCTCTCCTGCCTGGGGTTGGAGGCCCCCCGGCTCGATGGGAGTGATGGGTGAGTGTGGAGAGGGGTTTGCTGGACTGGGAGGAAGTCCAGGCCTGTGTCCTTCAGGGCCCGTGCTCAGGTGGACATGGCAGAGGCCAGAGGGTGGGCCCGAGGTCCCGCAAGGCCTTTGGGGGGGCCAGACCTCCTATCCCCTGTAGCACTCTGCTGGACAGAGCCCAGCCCGCGGCACAGGCAGGCAGGAGGAGGTGGAGGGGTGCCGGCTTTCTCCGCATGGCGCTCTCGGGCCCCAGAAGCACCCTCTCCCCACCCAGGGCCACTGGGCTCTGCTGCCTGCCCAGGACGCCCTTGGGGAAACAGGCCCAGAGAGAGAGTGGGACCCCGATCCCCATTGCTGTGCCTACACACCAGGAAGCTGGAGGCCAAGCGGAAGGCTCCTGGTGGCCGAGCCCAGGGGGCGGGGCCGGCTGCATCCAGGACCCCGGCTGTGGGCGGGGGAGCAGGCACACTGGGAGGGGAGCCTTCCTGGACCCTCTGGTGAGGTTTCAAAGAATCTCGTGGGCACAGACTTGGGTCTCAGAGACGCAGGCTGAATGCCTGGCTCCGCTGGGCCGTTCGGCCTGGGGTCTCGGGTGGGACGAAGGAGGCAGGGCCTCCTCTTCTCTGTCTGGGTGCCCCCACACCTGCCTCCACATGCAGTCCGGGAGCTGTCAGGGTCTGAGTGTGGACCCCCAGACACCAAAGTTCCCCCTATGCCCAAGGTAGGAAGTCTGGCACTTCAGTTCTTTTTCCTGTGTTGATTTTAGAGAGAGAGGAAGGGAGAGGAAAAGAGAGAGAGAAACATTGATGAGAGAGAACATAGACTGGCTGCCTCCTGCAGGCCCCCCACTGGGGATAGGCCCTCAACCTGGGCATGTGCCCTGACCAGGAATTGAGCTGGTGACCTCTTGGTGCAGGGTCGACGCTCAACCCCTGAGTCCCCCTGGCCGGGCTCCACTTCAGTCCTTTGAGGCCTTGGGTCCACACAGGGACCTCTCCTGGTTTCTGGCGGGGGGTACTCAGTCCCTTTCCCCCCCAAACCAGACCCCTCCCAGCCTGCCTGGGCACCAGCAGGACTGTGTGCCCACTCCCCAGACACTCAGGCTCAGGTGGCCACGTGTGCACGTGGGCGGGTGCCGTGGGCCTGGTGTGGGCCAGCCTCCGATTTCCACGGCCCACTCTCTGCCAGGAGGCTCCGCAGAAGTGTGGGGCTGGGGAGCTGCCTTGGGCCCCTCACCCCCGAGCCGTGGCAGCACCAAGCATTTGCCACCGTGCTAAGTGTGGGGGGTCCCCAGTGTCTGCAGGACCCCCGCTGCTGGGGTAGGATCCATTCTTGTCAGAACTAGTCCTGTCTGCAAAGCCTGGGGGCTGGAGAGGGCTCCTCTGCCCAGGGACTCCTGGGGCCTATTCCCCTGCGAGGCGGCCAGTGGCCCTGAGGCTGTGCCGTCGCTGGATGGCTCGGGGCTGAGGCACAGGGGACAGGCTGCCTGAACATTGTTTGGTGGGCAGAACCCCCGCAAGTCTGCCCTGCCCTCCGCCCACACCCTGGAGCTGCCCAGGCCCCCTGCTCCGCCTGGCCCGGCAGCCTGGCTGTGCTGTTTCATGTCGACCTCCTGCAGAACCACCCGCCCAGGTTCTGAACAGCATCCGTTGCCATGGGGCTCTCCTCGGGGTCGCACAGAACCCGGAAATCCCGAGCACCACCCCGCTGCCTGCCAGGTTGCATCTCCCCTGCCCTGGCTCCTAGGAGCGTCATGTCGTAACCTTCTGGGGTCTGACCTCTGATCGGTTCACCCCGGCGGCCCCACTTCCAGGAACAGAGAGGCCGGGACAGACCCGAAACTGGCTGGCAGCTGTCAGAGGCCTGCTAACTTTCTTTTCTCGGATGCAGCCCCTAAAACGAAACACCGGTGCCAAAGCTTCTCAGAAAAGGGAAGTGACCCCTGCAGGACCCTGGGAGCTGCACCCGCTGCTCCCGGCATCCAGGCCCCAGCGGGCCCGCGACCTCCGTGTTAGCAAAAGCAGCACAGTAAGGAGGGCGCAGGCTGGGCAGCTGCTGAGGCGGACAGTGGAGGCCTGGACAGCAGGGGCTGAGCGGCCATTGCCTGCCCTGTGAGCCGCAGTCACGGGGACTGTGGATGGGAAGAGGCCAGCCAAGCCTGGCACCTGCCCAGAGCCCCTGTTCATCCCTGAGCCCAGGCTGTGACTGAGGGATGGGGCACCAGCCAGACTGCTGGCGCTGGGGTGTCTCCGTGGGCCCTCCCCCTCTACGGAGGCCTCCGCTGGGGTGTCTGCCTGAGCCTGCAGCACATGACTTCCAGGCCGCTGGCTTTTCCAGGCAGACTTGGCAAAGACCTGAGCTTTGAGCTTCAACCTCACAACTGACCCCCCCGCCCCCAGCATTCCCGGCAGTGAGGCCTGCTGGACAGTCGGGCCGGGCCTGACCCTCCAGCACTGACCACTGCTCTCCTGGCCTGATCCCTGAGGACCGCCCTCCCTGGGCCCAGGCCCCAGATGCTGGCCGGGGTGGGTGGGGTCAGTTCCCGGATGGCTGTGTGAGGGCTGTCCTGGGGTGGGGTCACCTGCGCCCAGCACTGAATGGGTCTGGTTCGGGAGAGGGAGTCCAGGGACCCACCAGAAGTCAAGGTCGTAAGTAGCCAGGGGGGCCCACCCCACCCAGGGAGGAAGAGAGTCCTGGGGGGATTCCATCTTTCTGACATGGGGCTCTGATCTGGCCTCTGGCTCCTCCTGTCCCCGTTCCTGCCAAGAAGCTGCCTGCCCTGACCCAAAGTGCATGCCCTCAGTGGGCAGGGGACCCCGATGTCACTGGCCCCGCCCGCCCGTAGGGGAGGCAGGCACCAGGCCTCAGGCCCCCAGGTCTCCCTGCCCTGCCCTTCCCCACGGGGCAGCCGCTGAGCTGGGCTCCTCAGCCATGACCTCTGTGCTCCGTGACCCACTGGCCCCTGCCCTGGGCGAGGGGTGGAGAGGAGAGGGTAGCCTTGCCAGGTGGCCGTCTGCCCCACCCCGTGTGCCCAGGGGGCGGCCTGCATCCGGGCCTGGGCCACCAGGCCGAGAAGGTGCCGCTGCCCTGGGTGCTGGGCCCAGTGACCAGGAGGGCGGCAGACAGGTCGGGGATCCCGGCCATGGGTGCTGCCTGAGGCTGTGACCTCTATCGCACGTCCTCTCATCTCATGGGGAGCAGTGCAGAGAGGGCCCGGGACTTGGAGACACCCACCTGGATTGGGGTTCATGCCACAGCGTGCCTGCCGACAGGGCCCCACAGAGGCACCCCATCCTGGGAGGTGCATGCAGAGCGCCACACCCCACCCAGCGGAACATCCCAGAGGCGCGCACCCCAGGCTCCGACCCTCCCTTGCCGCCTGGTTCTGCTTGCGGGGGCTTCCCCACGCAGTTCAAAGGGCAGAGAGACCCTTGGGGGC